GCATTCCCCACAGGTACCTCAGTTTACACCAGATATGCCCAAGGATAAGAAAGACGTTACGGAGGCGGAGAAAGCGGAAGCCCATCGCCGTATCCGTGGTGGTGGTGACAGCCCAGATGAAGTACCTTTACCATAGGAAGACACTCCGTGACAGCTAAGACGGGAAAGGCATCGCATTCGGGCGGCGTTATACCATATAAGCGACGGGTTTTCCCGAAGATTGGATTCCATTGGGTGGATAGACGAGACATTGAGCATGGGATGGGGGGAACTTGCAGCATCTGTCTATCAGAAAAGTGGGCATATAGCAACGAAGAGGGGAAAAGGGGGTTGAACAGCGAGGGGCAATGCAGTTGCTAGCGTTCGTCACACGTTCAGCCAGGGGGAGTAAGCGCAAGCAGACTATTATTGTACATGCAGTCAGATACAGCTATGTGGTAGGTAGTTATAGCCTGTTACGGGGTGATGGTTCGATATCCGACAGTAGGATAACCACAGCCCCGTCGTCGTCCCATTCATAGGCATCAACCCCCCAACGTCAACAGTGGCTTATAAGTCAAGGCGTATATCACGATACGATGTTTTTACCGGGTACTATACAAGGTGTCCTCTTGGGATATCCTCTTGGAATGGTATCATCAGCCCTAGTTTGGATATAAGAGGGGGTTCGTAACTAATTAGGTAAATAGTTAAGACCAATGGGTGCAAATAACACAAATAACACACCGATATTTCCATTTTTGTAGATGCGGTCAAGAAGTCGGTATGCAATGAAAAGCTTCCACGTGCATAGAAGGCGGGATGGATTGCGGGGCGGGAATTGGGATGAAAGATGTCATTTGCTGTTAGTTGCGGTAATTTGGTTCCACGAGACATAAACCCTGTCGGTACGGGGGCAGGTACCTGCGTGCCGGGTAACGGTCATGGCTGTCATGTAGGGTACCTAAAGTACCTAAAGTACCTAACGGCCAGACGGCCAGACGGCTAACCTGGTAGGTACGGTACCCTATTAGGTCACTTAAAGTTTTGTTTACTTTAGACCCCGCATAGCAACGAGATAGCATTTTCAAAGAAAAACATTACTATGTACAAACTTAAGGAATGCCGCGGTATTAACAAATAAATCCACAGAAGTAGACCCTTAGTCTTTAGAGCTATTTTGTACACTAGCTGGGCTCCAGTCGCGAGTGGCCCAGCTTTTACGCATACGACAAGATTTTTTTTCTTCGCGACTCCTGCTTCAATTGTGTAAAAGGGGAAGTAGGCGAACCGGAGTATTGATTGATATTGATTGAAGTTGTCAAATTTATACAAACATTAAAATATCAATCTGCAACAACCCGCATACCACCAATGCAGACAACTCCGAAAGCGAATACCGCATCCTTCGTGGCTTACTCCTGTTCTTAGTCCGATACTGGACGGCAACGGTAGATCCTGAACGGGATCAGATCAAAGGGGAAAGAAATAATCAAGGAGGGAAAAAAAGAGAGACAGGACAAGACAAGATGGTCGACCCAGATAACCTCCGCACGGCGTCGCTGTATATCAACAATCAGCTCCTATCGCGCGGCCTTCTTCGTGATGGCCACAATATCAACTTCGCAGATCCGGAGTTCGGTGATGGAGGAGTACAAGGCACGATGAGCAAGGTCATGAGCGTTATCAATGACCTCATCCTAAGACGCGACGTATGTATTATATTATTATATTGTCCTGATCTTCAATGACAATAAAGGGATAGATAACATGCTAACATTCTTTCTTACGATAGCGCGATGCTGAGAGCCGAGAGTCCTTATCCACAACCCTTCGGACCCTACGGGCTGACTCGCAACGGCAAACGACCGAACTCGTACGACAAACAGAAAAACTGTCTGACGCTCAAAGAAAGCTTGATTCTGCAGAGGCTACAGAGCGTGCCCTCCGTACCCAACTCAAGATTACGGATCAGAACATACACCGCCTAAAAGATGAAGCCATCAAGATGAAGACTATCGTGGCGCAGGCGCGCGCTGCATGCGCTAATGAGATCCGTAAGCGAGACCGCCAGATCGACGGCCTGAAGAAGGCCGTCGCAGATGCTGGTAGAGTAAGAGGCGGCGGTAAGAGCAGGGATGTCCTATGCATCACCGTAATAGGGGAAATCGGCGGCGAGGAGCGTGGAGTGCCTGCTGGTGCAACAGAGGCTGAAGGCTACAGCTTACGCTTGGAGACAAATCAATTCCTCACAGAACTAGCAAGAGGCCTCAGCGAGGAGAACGAAGGTCTACTCGCCTTAGTTAGACGCGTAGTCGACAGGCTACGCGAGATGAGTGGGCTAGAACGTGGTTCGGAGAATCTAAATGGGACCGCATTTGACTACCGCTCAGACAATAACAACGCGGACGTGCTAGTAATGGCATCTCAAAAGAGCGCCGATGAGCTCGCATCAGAGTTGGAAGAGATCATGGAGCATCTTAGGACGATATTAACGAACCCTTCCTTCGTGCCGATCGAAGAGGTTGAGATACGCGAGGAGGCTATCACTCGCCTACGCGCCGGCCTAGAAACAATGGAGTCCCGCTGGAAGGACGCCGTCCATATGATTGACGGCTGGCGGAAACGAATGGTGTCAAGCGGCAAGTCAGTCGATATGGAAGACCTGCAGATGAGCCTCCGACTTAGTCCCGTTAGGGTCAGGGACGTCGAGGAGACAGCAGATATCGTACCTATGAGACTCTCCTGTGTCCAGGAGGAAGAAGAGGAAGAGGAAGAGGAAGAGGAAGAGTATGGTGAAGAAGACAGTCTCGATGCACAGGAAGAAATTCAAGAGGACCAACGGCGGCTAAGGTCTCCAAGCCCGATCGATTCGCTACACCTAATCCCGGTACAAGGATGCCAAGTCGCAGAGAATGAAGAAAACGATTCCGACTCGGATTCTAGCAGCATCTTCCAAGATGATATAGACATAGACGAGCTGGACGCCGAGGAACCAAACGTCCAAGTCCTTCAGGAATCTACATATGCGAACTCGATGGATTCGCCTCCTCTCCCTATGCCACCCCAACTCAGCCCACTTAAGGACTCATATTCGGCAGGAAATAAAGGATTCTCCGAACGTGATTTTGCGTATCGCAAGCATGCAGATTTCACGACTATTATAGAAGAAAACACATGGGAATTGGCAGAAGAGGAAGAGGAGGAGGAGGAGGAGGAGGAGGAACAAGGGCCACCTCCGCCGCCACATGTCATCAAACCCCAGTCTCCTAGGTCTCCCCGGTCTCCGCATCAGCAGAAGAAGTCAGTGTCATACAAAAACTCTCCGCCATGGCAGGACCAATCTCGACCTAGCTCAACCGCCTCATATGAGAGTCCCCTATTCGGTAAATCCGGAGAGAGGCCGTCACAGTCTGATCCTTCCCGCAAACTATTCTCGAAACCCACCCCGAATCTAGGGAAGCAATTATACACCAAATCTCAGCCAGAGCCGGGTAGCACAAACTTTCAGGCTTCTAATAAATCATCGAAGAGGCCAACTTCATCGCCAGATCCATTAGCAGCAGATATAAAACGAACGAACTCAGATCCTACCAACCCACCGTCGCGTCAGCAGCCCTCGTCGAAATCCATTCGTCAAGTCCCTGCTACGACACAGTCGCAACCCATATCCTCGTCTTCTTCCGCCTCTTCCTTGAAATCCGCGGCCAACATAACGGAGCGACCGCAACAACCCACTATTGCACGTCCGCGCTCGCCAGTTCGTAATAACCAAGCCGCCAATACTACCACAAATACCTCCTCACGCCTTCCTCGACCTAACAGCGCGAATCCACCTGCGCAACAGAGCCCCCTAACTATGGCCACTATCGCCGCGAAGCTAGCGGCCTCAGAACGTGAGGCCGATGCTGCTCGTGTCAGGGCTAAGCTGAGGGCCGTCCGGTCTGGAGGTCAGAGACGGAACCCAGCTCTCCGGGCTCCTACTACAGTTGCTCCCGGGTCGCCGCCCCGGGAAACAAAGGTCAACAAAGTTGAAGCCAGGCAAGAGGAAAACAACCTCGCCTCAGTAGACCCCGTCAAGAAGGACAAGGACTTAGCTCAACCTCGTTCCCGAGGTGGGACACCGGCACGACGACTAAATCCTACAGCAGAAGTCGATGAAATTGACGAGCTGTCGGGATCAGCCGAGACTCGAGAGAAGGAGCAGAATAACGGCAGCAGCCCGCTCAAATCCACCAGCGGTAGCCCTCTCAAACTTGTAAAGCGAAGACGCGACCGAAACGAGCGTCATACGAGCAAAGTCGCGTCTCGTCGACGGAGCACGCTAAGCCCCTGGGAGTTGGATGCTCTCATTCAGGGGTCAGGTGCCGGGGTGGACTGTAACTAAGAACGACTAGACGATATCTACCCCCACCTACTTTATAACGACCTATATTTATCGAAGTATGATGATATAGGTAACATGAGGCCTGCTAGAAAGCCAAATACTAGGCTCGCGGTCTTATTTTACTGAAGCAGAAAATGATTATGAATGTTATGGATTATTATGCAACGTTATGCAAAAGGGAAAACAAGAAGGAAGTAACGAATGAATGAGTGAAATAGTATGTCTAGTGGGCATAATAATCTAAGATCCGGAAGCTCAAAGCGAAAGGAAAAATTGGTGTTTGGGGGAGGGAGGTTGGATATTCGGGGTGCCAAGGCGGAATATCATCATGTCACGAAGATCACGCACGAAATTTTTTTGAAACGAAGCTCCATCTGGCAAGTCTCCACGGGCGGGAGGATTGGGCGAGACTGCATATATGCCGTGGATGCTACGACTTACTACAGAACTGACGGCGGGTAGAAGCTGGTCGTTCGCTTACTACCTACAGTATTTACTTTGTCTTATACCAATGAATGAAAGTATGATTAGCTACACTATTTTACGAGTTTTGAGGTGATGATGATGATGATGATGTGTTGAATGTGTTGTATGTAGAAGGGTTGAAGGATATTTTATTCTATTTAGTATTTTACTGAAAACCTTTCGAGTCTTACATTTCATTCATAAACCTCGAGTGTCATCCAGTACCCCTATCCCCGCGATTCAACTCTAAACAGCAAGTTCCTCCGTAACCGTGTAGGGCTCACGCTGGGCATGATATAATATCCATCAGCGACCAGCTCGTGCCTGATCCGATGACCTTGGTTAACAGCCATCATTTGGAGTGTGTATGTGTGTCTGCCGTGGTCTTTTGGCTAGTGGATACATCAGATCCTCGGAGGATGGTAGTGGCCGTTTTCTTCTTTCGTCGTACACCTTCTGGAGATCTCTCTTGATGTTCTCCAACCTCTCGCCCATGGCCCATTTGCGGATATTGCTCCACAGCATCTGACACGCGATATGCTGGTCTGGCTCGTACAAGGCAAAGCTGCGGAACCCCTTCATGATGTACTTGTCGCCGTCCTTCCACATGACGAAGAACTCTGCTAGCCCGACGGGCAGGACGACGACTGTGAAGATGGCTAGGTTTCCTTGGAGTACTTTGCTGCTTAGACGGAGACATGTTGCTGCTGCGCTGAGACACCGGTTTTCGAAGCCGTGCGTGTTCGCGCTGAAACTTACTTCCACGATCATGTAGGGGAAGTATACCTCTGAATCGACGTCCAGATCCGTTCCGAGGGACGACTCGACTGAATTGACGGGTGACATGTCCATGTGGCAAATATGGTATCCAAAGGTGAAGCTGGGTTGTGGAGTGATCACGCCGCGGGGAACAAGGTAGTTGTGGAACTTTTTGTTTATCGACGCCTGCGGGATATCGCAGTCAAATGCCATTCCAAGTGTGTTGTGGCCCAGTAGATCAACGATATTTATAAGCTTCGATTCAGTATCTCCCAGACCTAACTTGGCGTAGCGGAGTTTACCTGCCATATTTTCTTTTGTCATGATGTTCTCGGACGGTTGTTGTAGCTTAGTGATAAGTTCGTCAACCCAAGGAGGTAATTCCCACACTCTCTCCTTATAACAAATCCCGGCAACATTTTCTATGTGTGCTCGATAACAAGTCGAGTCTATATAATGCCATGAGTCTGTATCGTTCGCCTCGTGTTCCGGCTCAGGTGTACTTGACGAGTTACATGGGTCGGCAACTAGATCGGGTTGTTTGCCTGGTAATGGCACACCGAGGTTAGATAATACATTTGGATCAGGTAAATCCGGATCGACATTCTCAGCCTAGCCAGAACATTGTTGAGATGAAGAGGTACCTTTGGCAATCTCTTGTTTCTTAGAGATGTAACGAAGCATTTGCTGTCGAGGACTGTGACGACCCATGATGAGAGAAATATACACAATAGCCAGACACAAGTGTAGACAAGAGTAGTGAGTTCTACAAGAGACAAAGAAGAAGAAGAAGAAGAATGGGACAAGGCCGTTTGTTATCGGAGCAGGAATTGTTATAAGGCCTGTTGCCTAGCAGAACGCAATATAACAGCGTCACACAGAGCACGGCAACCCGCTGCTTCGACGCGTCGACCCCTTGCACTTTCTATACAGTACGCAAAGCTTCGTTAGAGGAGGGAAGAGGGAATAGCTCGTACGGTCATGCGTTAGTACCTAAATAACGTTAAGTTTTACGTACTGTATAGAATCGTAAGATCGCAAGGAGGTGTCCGTTTATTACCAGTTGAAGACATATTAATCTACCAGGAAGTCTGGTGGTTCGATTGTGCTTGGTAGCCAGTAGAAGATTAACGTGCTATCATTTTATCATTATTAGTATTAACGCGCAAGAGTATAACTGCAAATCGTAACTGGTCATACATGAATGAACTCTTCGCAAGAAGCGGGTATCTGAAGCATGCTATTAAACAGAGCTGAAATAATGCAAAGAGGCTATCCTAGCCTATGCCAATACTGTGGGTATTCCGTGGTGGATTCTATGTTGACATCGTCAAAAGCGTTCCCTTCCTGTGCACGCATTCGTTCGTAATTCTACCGAATAGATCACGCATGCTCTATACTCCCCTTTTCATACCCCTAACTAAAGTGAACCACATCTCTACTCAAACGCAGAATCGAAACTACGGTAGCTCGGTATTTGAGAATTGCAAGTGATCGTTGAAGAAGCGTTGTCGATCAGGGTGCATCGATGGCAGGTGAGGCGGCGGCCTACTGATAACCTGAGCATTATAATGAGTAGCAGCCCACTCCTGAAGGTCCGCCTTCGACTGTTTTGCTCGATGGTATATTATCTTAACCCCGCGTTGGATGAACTTTGCGAGTAAAGCATCCGAAAACTGCTCATTAGAGATATCAATACTGCGCAGATTAGGAAAGCGACTGACAAGCTTGAGTAGCCCCTCGTCACACTGCTTGTACTGGCAAAGATTTGCCACGGTCAGTCCTGTAATGCTGAGGTATGTGAGACTTTCGCTTCTAAACCAGTCCGGAATCACAATTCTGAAGAGGCTTCCGAATAGCATAGGCACGGGGAATGGTCGGATGTCGAGCTCTCGCAGAGTACCGGATTCCATGCCAGGTCGAACAATGGTTTCGAATTCAGAGGTAGTGAGGGGGGTGTGCAGTAGTATCGACAATCTCTCAAGTCGACGAAGCTGGGGGAGGACTAAAGGTCCAACATGGATAGTTAGCAACCATGGTGCTTGAGGGTTGCTTGTGACCATAGGAGGGTAACACGTACTGAAGCGTGACTGAACAGACCGACCCTCAAAATGCAGCTCACGCATATCTTCGTTGTAACCACCTTTCACGTCACCTTCACCAATGACAGTGTCCAAGCGAGCACGATTTCCAACAAATATGTATTGCAGTTTTGGCCATTTGGTCATTAGCAGCTTGGACGAGTACGTGAGATTGTCGATCCAGACTTCTTCCACGTTAGGAGCCAACTCCATGATGCCACGCTACATATCGTTAGAATCGTCAAAAAGTCTTCACAACAAAACGAACCTACCAAGTTGGGGAGAGGGTCTGCACGTAATTCGTAATTCGGATATGCGAGTCGAACAACTTTCAGCTTTTCAAGTTTTACCCAGCCAGGATACCATGGCACCTGATCAGATGCCAATCTGTCACAGTGCGGGAGCTCGAAGATTGACAGCTCTTCCAGCGAGCTCCCGCATGCAGTTATCAGTTGCTCTAAAACTTGAGGTCGCGGCCGTACTCCGTAACCCAAGGAGAGGTTAGTGAGCTTTGGTAGCCGTAATTTTGGGGGCAATGATTCCAATTCAAAAGAACCTCGCGGCTCTCGGAGTTTAAGTACCTTGAGTTGCTGAGAGATTTCTATAACTTGTGAGAACTTACACCACTGCAAGAAGTGGGACAGGCCATCGATAGACAACTCTCTCAGAGCATTCTTGCCGTATTTGTTGTACGCTTTGAAGGCAGGTAGCATTCTTCGAATGCCAGGATGACTTCTTTGGGTGAGCTTGTATGTCTGGACATGCCACAAGTCTCTGAGGACGTTTGATTTGGTCAAGATATTGTTCCAAGCCTTAGAAACTCTCAAGCAGCGACTATTGATCGTGTCAGCAAGAAGTAAGAAAAGAAACAGATTGCTGGGGCACCTTACCACAAGGTCTTGAAGTCAAGAAACTCGAATGTCATACGAACAAGTTCGATAGGAAACTTCGTGACGGGATCAAACGCGGCTAAAGCAGCTACCCTATCTCTCTGGACTCGCAACTTCTATTCAATTGGTTAGGAAAATCCAGGGGTAACTCGGCACATATACGCACAGGCAACAAAGAATGATTAGGGTTCTTTCTCTCCACAAGTTCAATGCCTTGTCTATACATGTGGTACGCAAGGGTTTGCTTGCTTTTCAGGCGAAGGATCTTACCGAGACGCAGATAGACCTAAGATAGGTTAATAAACTTGCCGATTTCATCACAAAACCAGCATACCTTGGGTTCCCTCGGGGCGAGGTTAACCATACCCACGGCGAGGTTAAGGCACTTGTCTAATTTGAACAACATCTCGTATGTAGCAATAAGCGAGTCAAGAGCGCGAATATGAACGTGCTTGTCACAGCGTCTGGAACGGGGCGTCAAGGTTGAAAGGACTTCCTTCAATTGGTTGTTTTCAATGCCCGTCAAGATATCTTCGTTCGAGTCTAACAGCATCCCGCCATGGATTTGACAGCTGCAAGAGTTTATAGCCTGGTAAGGTAAGCGCGTGTAGGCATTCGGGTAAATGAATAAAATATAACAAACCTTCTTGAATAATTTCGCTGCAGCCTCGTAGTCTTCCTGCGCATACAGTTCCAAACCCTTCTTAAGGGCGAGAGAGCCCGCTGCCTCTCGGGCTGGCGCGGAGTCCTCTGAAGTTGCCATGTTAAAGGGAAGTTGAAGTTTATTAAAATGTGTCGCGGAAATAGGTTTCGTCAATACAGAACGAAAAACAAATTAGAAGTGCAAAGGGAATTGGCGCATCTTCAAATCCAAACGTTTTATTAGGTAAAAGCCACCAATTATGCAGCGCATTCACACTAGTCGCCAAGAAAGGAACGTATGTTAAAGTAAAAGAAAGTTTTGGTTTAAGGGAAATGTTGCGACCTGGGGCAACGTCGATGGAAAAGCATATGGATGGAAGTCAATAGACGCGGTTTAGATAAGTGAAGCAGCCACGCCGGAGACGCGTTAAGTGCAGTTGCATTAGTGGGGAATACGTCAGCGTAAATTTGAATAGTTAAGATTTGGTGGTTTGGCGGGGTAGCGGGGTTACTATTAGCATACTATGAACCTCACCTACATGTAGCCTCCTATATAAAATACATGCCTAGGTTAGGTAATTACTAATGTACACATAAAACATACATGTATACTTATAATGTCCATGCCTTAAATACATTTACGTAGTTCGTAACTTATATGAAACGTAACGCCAGAAATATCAGGCATCTATCTATATTCTATAGAGGTAAGTATAATACATGTTTATATCCAGCGCTGTCTATATCTAGTACAGGCAGACCTTTTAAATAGATGGAATGTTGGTTTCGTCTCTTAGTTTTAAATTTCATGTGTATACAGCCCTTAAAATTAAAGAGAAAATTAGTTACGACATATCCGTATAACCTAGATGAAGGATTACTAAAAGTTAGTAAAAGAAATCATACCATATGATGGACTAAAATGCGCAAAGTCATTTTACTCCCAAAATCCTGTTTCGTATAAAAACACCGCAATCTTGCTTTATCACGCACAAAATCGTTCATTACTATATTCTATTTCAGTAATCATGTTAAACTTAGCTACCTACCTATATATACTATCCAGGTATATACCACGGCTCTTTTATCAGTGGGGCATAGGAATCCATCATGAAACTTTTCCTAATAAAAGATATATATATATATATATCCTAAAGTGGAGATGTCTCAACGGAGGAGGAGATATAATGAGAAAAGGCCAAGTTCAAGTCTTCGCCTATCCTATATACAGTAATCGATAATAGACAGACATATCGATCCTATATCATGATACCCCGGCCGCGAGATGTGGCACAAACCGTTGCGGGGGCCGGAAAGCGGGAACTCGTGACCTTTTCGACCGCAATCCATCTGATTGTAACAACCTGAAATTAGATAGGCAGATTACTATGTCCCTTTGCCAATTTAACTTTATCAACTATAACTTGGAGCCGCAGCTTCGTGACACATAGCAACACGCAACGAGGCCGAGTAGACCATTTTTGAGCGCTTCCTCTTATACATCCGATGTTACTATCGATATACATAACTAGTATAAATACCTACGCTATACGAACTCGTGACGTACTTACCGTACGACCCCATCCCGCCCAGACGGGAACTCCCTTGTCTCCGTCCGTTAGCATCCCCATAACTTCCCTCTACGCTAGTATTAGTAGTATTAGTATACCAACCTGTATAACAGGAGGAGGCGCTGTTATCGCCGAAGGAGCCATCAAGGCCAAGCCCAGCCAGACCACCCGCCACGGGGCTGTTTCTACGTCCATTCGCGACCAAGCCAGCGCTCTCCGCACCGTCCTTCCCAAGATCCCATCCCGGAGTCTAGGAAATTCGCCTGGCGTCGAGGCGCAGGGACCCTAATTTTCCGATAACCGTACCCCGGTTCGCAAAGTTCCGTCTATGTAGGCTCGGCGAGGATGTTAACGAAAAATTAGAAATTTTGGTTGACAGGCCCTACGGTAGGCCCAGGTTGGTAAATTAGGTACTTAAATCTATCCCAAACCCCCAACCCTCCCTTCCTTCACCCCACTTTATCTTGACCTCTGTAGATCGGAACAAATTCCCTTCGGGTCGCTTATTATCTCCTTTGTTGTTCTTAGCTATATTATACCAGGCGATCCGGCGGTCTACCGGACCTGCCAAGTCTTACCCTCTGTTCTATTCTGCCCTACCTGTCCAGTGCCTCCTACCCATTCCCGGCCACCCTGGGGAACACCGTAAGGCGGACCATACGGGCTGTGACGAGCGAACGATGTGACGAGATCCCAATTGCCCATGGGCAGATGAACATATTCTAATTCAGACCTCCGAAATCCGCGTTGTTGCTGATGCTGGCTGGCTGGCAGGGCGAGGATCATAACTTACCGGGAGACGCCCCATCAGACTTCGTATTGGCAAGAGAGCTCTGCCCTTGCAGGATCGTTCGGCCTCCGATTTCCATATTCGGTTCGGGGATCCTTACTCATAGTTTGTCTTTTATACATAGTTAGTTCGTTTGTAGTCTAGTAAGATTCTTTTTTGGTCTTTCGTCATTCGTCATTCGGCCGATTCGGCCGTTAAACGTCATGGCTATACATAAACTGGAAGTGTAACGTGTATGTGCTATATGTATGTGTGTACATATGTAAAAGTCGTGCAGATATGTTTGTATGTATGTTGCATGTAATACATGCAGTTAGATATTTTACTTGCCACTTAATCAGCTCAGCTTATTTTCCCGATCTTCCAAATCTATGTAAACGCCTCCCCCGTCTACCGATGTTAGATAATCTGGTAAAATTACAACAGCCGAGCTCCGCCCCGCGCGAGTTAAACAACGGTAGCGAGTGGCGAGCGCAAGTAATACATACATACATAAATGCAATGCTCCCAACTCGCGTCTATTCGCGTTTATGGCGTCAAATGCGTCAGCAGCGTCTAACAGCGGCCCCTAAAAGCCACGTGGAACAGCTGCGGTAGAACCAGAAACTAATTGGTATGTATGCCCAGACAGCCGAGGCGCACGGCACCTGAAGCACTTTATTGTTGCGTAAATGACTGGTGCGGCACTTGGATTAGTTCGCATTACCTACCTATGCGATAGACCTGCATCATCCCTATGTACATACATACATCCAGCACCCATAGTGTCAAACGATAGGAGCTGTTTGCATAGGCGGGTCCCGGTGGCGTACGTGTCTGCGTTACGTATGTGGTTCATGGTTCAATTCATACCGCACTTATATCAGCCCACCCACCATCTGTCCTAGATAAATCTAAGCAGATCGAGACGCGGTAAGTTGATTATCTAAGAAATGCCAAGGGGGGTGCCAGTTCGGCTTGCCAAAAATGGAAGAGGTGGAAGAGGTGAGGGAGGAGACTGATAACAAGATTTGACTTTTTCTGGAATGATGAGACTTCCAGTTAAAAGACTTTGTCTGTTTGTACCTCAATATGTCACAAGGCTTGGCACGTAACTTTAGACTTTACCTATTTTTAGCTGCATACTCTAGGTAAGGGAGCCAATGGCAATAGAGGTTCTTTTTTCTAAACTCCGGTACCACAATTCTATCGGGCCGCTAGCCCCACCAAAGCTGATGGATAGCGGGGCTAAGAGATAGATTCTTAGAGGTAAGTTATAAGAGGCAGCTTATTATTGTCTTGTCCAGGGTTTCTACGGAAGAGGCTGGGACATCATCTGCAACCTGATGACGATGATGACGAGTTTTGTTTTTTTTTATTAGAGGTTGTCGTACAGCAATTCCATATAATTCAGGTGAGTACCTCCTACATGAGGTGGGTTACTAGCTTAGGTAGGTACCTATGTACATATTGTTACTCAACAGTTTGTACCACCAAGTACTGTTTGCATGCCATCTACGGGATACATACCCACCGGAACCTATCAAAGGACGACCTCTAATATTTCTCCAACCAGCCGGTTAGGTGGGTTGGGTTGGGTTGGGTTGTAAGCGCGTCGCAGTTCCCGTTCCCCGGGTCTAACTCGTACATATTGTTCGACAGAGATACGAGAACATGACTGGTTCGGCAATGATGGAGATGCTCACGCAGGCACATTTTTATTTGTCTGGCTAGTGTAATATGTAGTGTGCCACTCCGAACCTATCAGCGTATAAGGAGCTGTTTTTTTTGTGCATCCGGTTCGACGCACGTTGTGTTCCCCTGGACATTATAGCGTTGCCATGTATGGAGCGCAGGTACCCACGATCTAAGATGTCTAGGTTAGATGGGTGGCCTCACAACCTGCGAGGCTGGCGAGGCTACACTTTTCAGCCCACTTGGGGGCGAAATTTATAACTACCTACCTACGTATCAAGATATTATTGCAAGGAATTATAGAATTTGTCTCATCCATTGTTCCTACTAGGCTTCCTAAGGTCACGAGATTTCAGTACAATCGTTTTTAATTTACTTCAAACTAGAAATTTAAGGGTGTCTAACATTTAACCCCTCATTTATAATTAACCATATCCTCCATCTGAATAAATCTACCTACCTAGGTAGCAATCTAGTAAAATAGTGTTGTAATAGATGCATGATTATTCAACTATCTAAACCCCCCCAAAAGAAAAATATGTGCTTATTTTGACGCCATCCTTTCCGGCTATACGATTATTTATTCCCGCTATTATAAATTCCTGTTTAGTAGTTAAAACTTGGCGCAGATCAGTTAGACTCACAACTAAATATTTGTAGCGGCATGTTTATAAACCTCTCATGTCGATTAGTCACAGTGATTCGGACGGAATCGTGGCTTAGAAATCAATAGGACTCGGCTAGATTATTCAGCCTTAAGGATGACATAGGCACGCATAGATAATTTATCCCCAGTCATAAACATGGATAATTCTAGGATAGTCCTTAGCTAACTAACGTTTATTGAGCCGCCTCCTGCCGAAATCGCATTGCCTAATCGGTGTATCATCCCCAGGATTGCCCATTGTCCCCCTCTATTCTCGCTGAGAGTTCTAATCTAGATAGTATAAAGTGCGTCTTCGTAGCCGGACGAAACGCCGAGTGCCGTTGCCTGTTGGAATCTGCGGGAGCGAACAACGGGGAACTTAATCGGTTATCGGCTGTTCCGTGCAGACCATGAGAACCGATCAGTGCCGCCGTCTAGAGCGAAGCCAGTTCGTCCTTCTCTCCCTGCATACCAAGACCTAGCTCAACTAATTACAGCCTCGTAAGAAAGGAAATAGTTCGGAATACAAGATGACTGCTCCCAGAGCATAATTATGCTGTAAACTGATGTTACAGATGTGAGCTGCCAGCAGAAACATGTGGTAAGAGATGAGAGAACCCCCGGATAACCCCCAAAAAAACAGACACAAACCCAGGGAAAGAAAAAGAAAGAAAGAAAGTAGATGTGCGGCCCCAATACAGAAGCCACAAAATCCCTTCCAAGGAAATTCGCACTCAAGTCGTGAACCAAATAACTCTTCCCAAATGACGCCTGGTATAACCGGTCCTTCTTCCATGCGTAAATCCAAAGCCAGAAATCATTCGAAGGAAAGGTGTAATCGATCCGGTTCCCGTCGGGTCACTAAACGTTCCTCGTAACATGTGCGTGTGTGCTTTTAAGCTGTGCTGTGACGTGAGCAGTCCCGTGTCGGATACCACATTAACCTCATCTCTTTTGTGTGCCCTCTTAAAAATCCCAATGCAAGAAATATTCCCTCGCCGACGCTATGCTAAATCAATGAATAGAAAAGTAGAAAGTCGAGGGGTTAAATGAAAGTGCTGGGGACGTAGCCCATGAAACCATGGCTGCCGATGACATGCTAAGTAACATTAGGAAATGTAACTGCCGATGAAGGCCGCCAGAGAACCAGCCGCGTCGTCGATTGAGAGAGTTGAAGGTACCATCATATCTCGTTCCGTCTCTGCGTCTTCGATAACTAAATCTGTGCATCATGGCATTCGTAGCATTTTCTTTTTTGTGCCGGATCATACGACAAGGTTCTAAAGGACCCGATGGCTTCATCAAAGGGCGGGAGGAGCCGATGTTGACATAATACGGTCGTGCCCTACAAACAGCATGGATAACTGCGAAGGCTGACGGGAAGGCGACAGGTTTTTGGGTCTGGGTCTAAAGGAGTAAAGGTACGGGACCCAATCCCAAAATTCAAACATCAACAGCGGCGGAGAATGCCACGCGCAGCAGCCCATTACCGAAGACAATACTCTTCATCGTCGGTGGTGGTAGGAGCTATCTCCAGACTGGTTGCTATAGTATCCCGAGTCAGAGTATGTCTGGTTTCCAGAATATGAATGGCTGCTAGACTGTGCATGCTTGGAGCAGGCATATCCCACTAGTATCGTCCGGGTTGTGATGTGATGTCCGGACTGGCCATATGCTGGGCATCGATCGACTGCATGTTGGTAGTAAAGGCAATGGCACGCGGAGTACCGCTCAACTAATTGGTAGCACATTGTGATGTATTGTCGACTTGAGATGATATCGTTGTGGATCAATAACTCTGAAAAACGAGAGCAGGGGAAGCAATTATATATATCTGAGTTGGCAAGGTAGTCGTGGGCTGTGTAGGTGTAGGTGCCTCTTATGTGTTGGCTCTGATACGGTACAGATGTTGTGTGGTCGTTGTTATAAGTGCTCGTTACGAACTAAAGTAAGGGAAGATAAAGAGCTGGTACAAGTTGAACAATGGTGGTGAACGAAATAGAAATAAGAATAAGAAGCCGACCTTAAGAGGATACGAAAGGAAAGGACCGGAAGTGAATGTGTCGTCCAGGTGACTATGATGAGTCGACAGGACTTCTTGCTGCGGTATCAGGGCGAGAAGAGGCATCGTAGCCTTATAGGGCTTGCAGCCTGGCCAGGTTGTTGCGCGTGCCTCAATGGGGGGGACCAGGGAGGGACCATGAGTGACAGGGAAGTGAAGGAGAAGAGGCAGCAGTGACGAAAGCTTACTCGAGTGTACCCGTCTCAACTACATACACTACATACTAACGTAGTCGGTAACTATGTATATTAACTACTACATACGTAGGTCATGTAGGTATGTATCTTCTCTGCTGCATGCAACTTGACCTGCAGGTCCAGCGGAACGTGGACTGACTAGAGAGATCCATCGTGGGTACATAGGTAAGGAAAAAGGCGGCGCAGGGGTGTGTGATAGTAGGAGGGGCGGTAGATGCCTTGCCATGATGAGTAAAGAGTAAAATGCGCAGCAATGAGATTTCAGGTCAAGTTTTGGGTTTGTGGTATGCAGTTTGTAAGAGGGCGAAGGGCGAGGAGGGCGAGGGTAAGTGAAAGGTGAATAAGGTATCCGTATCGGAAAAAGAGGAATAAGAATAGGAATGTGGGTATAAGACCACAGGCACAGGCAACATGTAGACAGACATGTAAACATGCCGGAAACGAGCTGCCGGACACACTAGTGTTGGAAGTGGGCGACGAAGAAGTACAACAAGTACGTAGCTTTTGCATCCTCTACCTAATGCGCTCTCGTTCTTCGGGCAGTCAGGTGAAAGCGGGAGAGAGTGGAGTTAGTTGACTGTATTCTGCTGGTGTCTAAGGTCTAAGCTGGAAACCAGGGTATTGGCTTGGTAGGTAGCAAAAGTAGGTACCTTCTGAACTACGAGTATAACACATGTAGTTGGAATTGTTGCGTTGGCGGTTATCACGTTCGTTCTTGTGCAACGGCAACTAGGTAGAAGCTGAGTTCTAAGAAAGGAAAAAAAATAATTTACCATATTAGAATGCCATTTTTACCCAGGTCGGATTTTAGGTCGAATTATGAACTGGAAAAAAAAATTGAAATTCGGGGATCGACTTCAGGTGCCCTGCTCCCTGCAGGGCTGATCTATGTAGTACCTTAGGTACACTAAGGACTTATGTATACTTGCCCTGTAATGTACCTACCATAGTACCCGGTGTACCAACCCAGGGTACTGCGTAGCTGCAGATTACCAGGGCAGGGATAACCGCCGATGCATGGCACTGTGGCAGCGTACATAGCTGACATGCCATGCCGTATTGCAGGATTACCTAGGTACCTATGTACTTGACAAAAAGTACTTGGCTTGGCAGCAGTCGTGCTACTACATATACATACATACCTCCTCGAAAAACAGACAATAATAATAGTCATAATAAAACAATGCCGCTTACTAGAAATCTCTTCACGCAGATTAAAATTTGCCATGATATAAAACTAATAATACTGTTACTTTTAATGTTATACCTGTAGGTGCTTGGCGTAGCAAAAAACATGGAAGTAATAGACCTACCATATACGTAATAAACCCGGTATTCATATCACTGCGCCTTTTGACAACAGCCGGCATCGACGGATTTAAAGATGGATATGGATTGCTCATACTGGCGAGGGCACGCTCTCGACGTGTTTCAAACAATTTGGGGTCGATTCCGAGGCATCCTGATTGCGTTGCTGGCAATGAATTAGGTAGCTTAGGTGTGCTTACATGGGTATGGTAGGAGAGGGACATAATCAGTAACAATAGCTAACGATAGTAATTATAATAATAATAACTTTAGATGCTTACGACTATCTAGCACCTGGCCCGTTTCTGATAGTCCAACGTAAATTTGACTATACTATCAACTTGTAACACAGTTAGATAACCAATTTACCTGGTGCGTAGTATCCAAGTCCCTTAACTTCTTTAACATCAAAAAGGTTTAACATTCGAGTTAAGCTTCTATTTTAGTGCTCACCGACCCGAAAGTTTGGCGGACCGTGCCTAGAGTCTTTTTTCCTAACAGCCTAACGACTTAACGTACCTTGCGTATTCTATGCACTTCAGAGAGGAAAAAAAAGACTGACGTCAAATTAACAGGAGGAGCTCGGTCTAACATTAACCTAAAGGTGATATTAACAATCCGCCCGACGGCTTGGAAATCGCGACGTCGCGACGTCGCGTAATCGCCTTACCCCCCACCGGGAGCATCGGCGCGCCACGGTGCTGGATAGCCCGGCTCTTGGATCCTACAAGATATATTATAGTCAATACTCAAGAAGTATCGTAGCATTTTCGATAACGACATTATGCCGTCGGATGGCTTGGGATCGGCTTTAGGAAGGCTCATGCATAAGTAGATAAGGGTCGTTTAAACGGATTTAATCATCGCCGAGTAACCAGGTGCTATAAAGTCCCTATTGCCGATTTACCTCGTACCGTTTGTGTTGGTGTGGGTTTAGGTGGTCAGCAAAAAAAGCGTGGTGACGTGCTATGTAGTATTCTGCAAAGTGGCAGTACGCAAAGTAAGCAAGTAGAGTGCTGAGAAGGAGTTCGTTAGAAAGAAACTATACGCTTTGACCTATTAACTATGTACATTTTGTATGACATATTAGGAAGAGATGGGTAAACAAATCTAAAGAGTCATCCTTAGGAACCTCCACGGAATAGTTTGCGTTAGACACTAACTATCGTATAAACAATAAAGGGTATGCAAGTGTACGCATGTATTTTAAATTCGAGTAGGCAAACTTACTATTGCATGTAGTTAGTTAACTGATTCTTCTCAACTTACTCTTTTCTATAAGAGCCCACCGAACTCAAGGATCTATTGGATAGTTGGGGGTTGCACGCGACACCTTCTTTCATGTACCTTTAGGTCTGTAGGTATGTGTGACGATTGGTTATGGTACGGGTTTGTGGTTTTAGCAACCCATGCCTAAAATGCTTGAAATGTGGCAGATGAGGTACAAACCAGTACACTTACCCGCGACACCAGATCCAAATGCGGAATCGTGAGTTTCCTTCAATTCCCATCGTAGGCAAATCTTAATCAGTAATACCATATCCATGGCGGGTGAGGGTGAGGTCGCCCGGGATGATGACGGAATTCCCCTACCCAGGACCCTGGAGACGGGCACACTAGCACTGGTGGCCATCTACCTACCTGGTGCTTAGAAACCCCATGTAAAACTACCTGCTTGGTTCTAATAAGTTTATATGCATGTATGTTTATAGTCAGATGAAGCGCACGATGTCATCCCGTACATCATCAATTCAATTTATAGCGCGTTAACTGATTTGTCTCGCATGTAACTGTGCTAAACGCCGGAGGAGGTACCTAACGTAATACAGCGTAGTCCTGTGTAAATGTACCACATGGTAGAAACAATGAATGTAGGCAGAAGGACTCAATTTGAACTCATCTGACTGCCTATACGCAAACAAAATATTTCGGTAGGCACGTCGAATAAAATGTATCTGCCTTTGAGAACCTCATCACCTATGCTAGGTACCTAAGCTTGCGAAGTGTTGAATTCGTCTAAGTCTATACGCTATCAATGAGGCGGAGCGGACTAAACTGTTTTAGCTAGTAACCCGCCCAAGCTTAGGTAGAACAGTACGTACCTATCTTAGGTAGGTACATGTAGGGCAAGTGCAGGTGCAGGTGCAGGTGCAGGTGTTATGTAGATGCAGTTTAACGCAATCCAATACTGCGTACATGTATGTACCTAATGTAGCATGTTCTTTCCGCGTTAGTATTTCGTAACAGCGCCCAATAGGACTTAACCAACTAAAATTCAGGGACTCATCAGCCTCTCTTAATGTTCTTTTCCATTTTCTGTCCTGCAGCCCTCAGGGCATCTGCATCTTTCTATGCAGGTTATAGATCTACTCTAGCGGGTTGCCTACCTAACCTACCAATGGTCATATACCGATGAACACATCTCAATGGAAACATACTAACGTATGCACCTACATTGGCTTCCCCTGAAACGTGCCTAAGGTATCCAACGTCGAATCTCGATACCTTGACACCTCCCGACGTCTTGATCGACGTGGCTGCAACCCATTCCACTCTCTTGGGTCACCGGAGGACCGTCTCAGGCCTCTCTAGCTGTGAGACCTATCCGATGCCTGCAGATGAATACTATACCTAGTTGGTCTAGGCAGTTCAATTTGGTTTAACTATTTCGTACTCTGCTCACCGAAAGGGTCTAGACCAAGTAGGCATTAGTTTCGAGCTTGGCGCAAGTGACCGGTTGAAGCAATTCCCAAGAGGCGCAGGCGGTTCATAAGGTGAGCATTACGGGTTATCGGCGTGAAACCATGACTCTTCACACAGTTCCTTTTCATTAATCCCCTAGCCAGTGAAAAAGTATCACTACTGACGCACAACATCTCCGCCTGTGTGCAACCTGACAGGATCTTAAATGGATACTACTCGACCGATCTGTCTCAGATCGTCATTGACCATCCTGTCAACCGTTGAATTACCAGTCGCTTATCTTCCTTGGGCATTCTAAATTTGACGACTACTGTGGCTGTCAGCCTGTTCCTGAATCTTTGAACCTCATCACTGAGCAAAGTCAACCTTATCGTTATGGAGCCATAGGAGTCATCAATCATCAATGCCATTGATAAATGGCGATTAGTATTATTTCCATGATTGTGGGGGATTCTTACTGATGTTTCGCAACCCGCCCAATCGCCATCTCTCCGTGTCCCCATTGTTTCCCTAGGTTCTTTTCCTCCCGGGCTTCCTATCCGTACCCCATATAGATGCATGTACTTATGGTAC